CTTTCGCGCCACCTGGTATAATCGTGTCGGCGTACAAAGTGAAACGTCGTCGTCGTCGTCGTCGTCGTCGTCGTCTTCTTCATCGTCAAGGGAAAGCGTGAAAACTGCAAGATTCGGTGGCGCGAGCGCCGATTAGGTGGACAACTTTCCCGTGCACGGATCGTACCCGGTTATCCATAATTTCGCTGATACGTCATTCTTGTCCTCTCGTTTCCTCTCCCGTCGTGTAACATGGATCGCGTGCGGTACCGTCGGCGGCGGTGCTCATAGTAGGTGGACGGATGGTGCTGCATGGTTATAACCTCAACGGAGGGACCACTGTGGCGTGTCGGATCGCGCCTCAGACGCGCTCCGAGATGTGATTTCGCACAACCGACCAAAAGACACCCTTTCGCACGTCGAGGATGAGGAACGGTTTCACCGATATACCGGTCGCGAGTGCCGACAGCAGCACGGACGCCATATGGCTCGAGAAAAGCAGTCCGTCGCGGGTGGCACCCGAACGAATGTCACTCAGTATGTCTTCTCCTCATATACATCCCGTTCGCGCGATCGAGCCGCGAGAGAAGCTCGGATCTCGCTCGTCCGGGAATTCAAACCGGTTTCACATCAAGGCGTGATCTCGTTAAGTTTTCGATGCGATTGACACGCGGGAATTATCTTATCGCCAATAAAGAGAACATAATGCCCGCGACATTACGAAAATTCAACTTGTCAATTTAATCGCACATCTCAATCTATTATTCTAGAACTCCTCGCGCCGGGGGAGGGGGGGGAGGGAGGGTTCGAATCGACGCGATTTCTCGAGCTTCGCGATCTTCAGAAATCGATGGAAGATCGATGGGATATCTATGCTGTAAATTCTTTCTTGGTACCGCTAAAATCGGGAAAGAGAGAGAGAGAAAGAGTGTTGCACGCTCATTTGGTTTATATTCTGTTTAATCGCGTTATCGCGTAGTCGTAACGCGTTGCGCATTACGACGCGCGAACGTCGTAAGACGCGCCGCGTTATCGAGCGCGCGCGGGGGATCGATCGAAGATCTTCAATCGAGACGCGTCACGTGCGCGGCAATTCGGTTTTACCTACCTACTAACCCTTTTGACTCTACACGGACCGGCGTGTTCACGTCACTCACTGGAAATTCTCGATTGTCTCGGGGACGCGTCTCGAGGAGGTTTAACTCTTTTGGTCCCGCTTTTCCTTTAAGGAATTTTAGGAATAAGGAAATGTTTTACACGATTATAATATTTTCACCAGACTGATCGTGTTCCAAAATAAATTTCTAAACTTATTGCGATCGAAATGGTTAACACAGAGATCAATTTGATCCGAATGAAACTCAATAAGTTTTATGCTCATGTATCGATCTGCGATTTGTTGCGTAATGAAAATTAATCGTTTATGCAATAAAAAAATAATTGTAGTTTGATTAAAGAAATAGTTGTGTGGAATTTTTTTTATTGTTGATTTGGTTTTAAATATATGCATACAAGTTATACATGAAAAGTTGATCTTATTAGTTTGTTAATTTTATTAATTAATATTACTTAACGAATGCATATTAAAGTACGATTAGTTTCATATCAACAAAAAAGATCTTTTATATAAAAGATGCGATATTTAATCTTTCGTCTGCACTTTGAATCTTTTTTGGAGCAAACGGAATTTTTCACTCTCAAATTTTTTTGAAATAGAGATTTTTATTAAATAAAGGTTTTAACATTTGAGTTAAAAAACTATTTGATAATGTAACAGAGATGTTGAAAAGTAATCTTAAATTTTTTTCAAATTTTTTGAAAATCTAGATGAGTAAAAAAACTGACGATAAAAGAAACACAGATCGCAAACGGAGAGTTAAAATCGACATAAATTCATAATTGCTAATAAAATCTAATGTACAAAAAAGATTTTTTGTCAAAAATATGATATTAAAAACTGAAGTCAATTTGTCATTAAAATTTAACATAAAAATTTGTATATATTTGTATTAGTTTTGTATCAGTTGACATAATAGTTGACATAATAGTTCGGAGTACTAACACAAAAGGAGTTATTTTTGTGTTGGCGCGCGTGAAATCGGCCTACATACTGAATTGATTTAGAATTTATTTATTAGCTATCTAATTTAAAGATGTCGCATACATAACGATAGATAAATTTATACAACACATCGGGAACTAAATTTAGCAGAATTATTATTTGCATTAGAGTAATCAACAATAGCCACTTGAGGATAATATGTTATACAAAACACAAGTCAATAGAATGTCAATAGAATTTTTTTTCTACTAATGTTTATTTTTGCAATGTAATAAGTATTCTTGATTTTTACAGTAAAGATATTAGTTTTCTACACAATATATTTCTGTACACAATATGCGTTTAAATTTTTTAAATATAATATAAAGTATTTCTTTAAACAAACTACACATATAAATTATTATTCCCTCGATGCGTAATTAGAAATTAAGTGTTAATCATTCTTCGCAAAAATATTTATATATATATTTTCATTTGCTTTTCAGATTTCGATAAGGTTGTTGTTAAACAAGAACGTCCAGACGATGCGGAAATCCGTGAATTGGCTGCCAAAATGGTGGAAGCACACAAGGCGAAAATGTTAGCGGCAAACATGCCACCGGTGCAACAACAACATAGGCAACAGTGTCTCGTACCACAGCCTAATCTCCCTGGTATTCTTGGATATCTGAACAAACGGCCGACTGACGGGCAGCCCACACCGAAACCTCCGGCGAACAGTTTGGAAAATAAAGTACCGCCGCCTGATGATGAGAGCCAGAGAGGACGATTCGGCTGGACGAGCTTCGACGAATGTCACATACCTTATATATTTCGCTCCGGCGAAAAATATTGCGCTGTACGAATCTTAGAATCTAAGCTTCTCAACAAGTACCTGAGTTATCTCCATTCGGACATCTACAGTTGCACGTGTATAAGGAGTTATTATATTACGGAGGCCGAAAGCAAACTGTTTAACGAGATCAACACCAGGCACTGTGAGAATCAATTCGGAAGGGACGTATTCACGTCCAAAGACCTGGTAGTGCGTCTCTCGGATGCCAAGGAGTTTTATACGTTTCTTGATGTATGTTACACCAAATTGACCGCCGGTACCAATCCGAATGTGACGAATGGACGCAAGGCGGAGAAATGTGGTTTCATACGAATAAACAGGGAATCCGTGGTCCCTTACACGGTGAAAGACGGTCTACAATACGTGCCGCTGTTTTATTTCGAGGGCGAAACGGAAAATCTCAAGCTGAAGGCGGAAAAGCTCGAGGGCTGGGATTTGTCATATTTGAAATTTTGCTGCAAAGTACAGGGTATACGTAACGAATTGTTTGCACATGACACTTGTTTTGTGATCAGTTTAAATGATATTAAGAGTTATTTTCCACCTGGTACCGGCTTTGAGGACTATTGGCCAACCAAAGTTATGGACTCGCAATTATTGGTGAACAGTAACGGGAGCGGTGCCGGTGGTGGATGGACGAAACAACCGCCTACACCGCCAGCGACTAAGCCTACTTCTGTGCAAAGTGCGAATAAAGTGGCACCTCCTCTAAACACACGTACCGTACCGATGCCTAATATGATACCACGGGGGACCGTCGTGAGTACTGCACCGCAAATGCCGCGAGTAGGACAGCCGAGGCCAGTAGTGACAACACATCCCGCGCATTCTTCCCCATCGGGACTTCCCTCCGGTAGATCAAACATAGTGTCTATGTCTCAGCCTATGTTGAATACCGTTCAGAGTGTGGTTAACGGCTGGTCAGGCCTCGTCGGCGGTCAACCTACCTTTCAAACGGCACTCGGCTCTCAGGCTAGCATTATACGAGCGACTCTGAACAATGTGATGCACAACGTAAGTTAATTTTCTTATGTTGTGTATGATCGTAGTATAAAAAGTATCAAAACTCTTCTTATTATATGGTTGATATTACAGTTATACTTTTAAGTTTTCGTATTATATACCAGACCAAATGTACAGTTTTGGATTTTCAGCAACAAATGACCGCTCCTTCCAAAACTTACTCTCAACAGTCTAGAAGTAGAGCTAGTAGTAGCGGAGCGACAGCTCAGTATCCTGTGTATCCGTCGACAACCATGCAGGGAGTTGTTCAAGCCCAACCGCCACCTCTTATAAGAGCAACTGTTCACTCCAATCAACCTAATCTCGGGTAAACATTAATTAATTTTGTAAATTGTCTGAAAGTGAATAGTACGTCTACACATATTTATAAGCTCACAAAGCATCAAATAATTTCAAAAACTTGTCCTTGTTTTTTTGTTGATGGTTTCTTTGGCAATTATGTATTTTTATAGCATATGCTTGTTTATGGTACAGCAAATCAATTAGCATAGCAACGATTATACATAATATCCAATCAAATTCTTGCACTTATTTATTTCCTATTGTTATATTTCATATATTGTTTATCAAAATATAAAAATCATACATTGCTAAATATAACTTTAGTTCTTAGAATAAAAGAGGATTAATATAAGTGTATCCCTCTTTAATCAGATAAATTAATGTACAAAAGTTGTAAGAAAGGAAAAGTTGTCACTTCTAGTATATAGCACATTAAGCATGAAATACTGAATATTAGAGTCACATGCTTATCCTAGCTTGAAAAAATGTGTTTACATACGTAAAGCATAATTATAATTACTATATGTAGAGTATCTGCACCATAGCTTTTGCATTTGTACATACAACGTATGATTTTTTTTTGTATAGTTATCCCACCTATGGGAAGGATGACTGGTGAGTCCTTGTATACTATTGTCATATAGATTATTATAAGAAATAAAAAAGCATGCATAAATTTATATATCTCAAGCTGATTCATATAGATCAATTTAATATTAATATTTATAATTAATTTACATGATTGTCTTTAAAGCTTCTTTGCGTGATAAATATATTGATTTAGTTATGAATCTGCTTCTCAATATTTATTTTACAATTTAATATCATTAATGTTATGTACACTTGTCACATAATGTATTCATGTATTCGTGTATTTAAGATTTTATAATGTTTATATTAATATGATTTATTATATTGCTGTCAAAATATATAAAGAATAATCTCTGTACTTGAATGTTACTTTATTTGTCGTACGATAAATTTTGTAAATAAATTGAGTTGCAAAATAGAGAATTTCTAGAGATTTAAGAACTTTTTTCTCAAAAATTAATTGATTCGCATTCAGAAAATCTACTATATGATAAATGAAATATTAATCTTAGATGTTCAAATGGGGAATAATTTATTATTTGAAAATTATTTTTTTTATTGATTTAATGATGGAGTAATTCCCATTAGCTATTTATCGAATGTTCATTAGCTTGCATTGCAAATAAAAAAAAGCATCAAAGTAGTCTCATATTTTGTACAATGATTCAAAAAATAATGTATCACATTATTAAATATTATTCTTTGGAAATTATTTATAAATTTGGATATTATCTGAAATATCCGAATGCACAAATAATAATAAATATTGACAGCATTATAAATCCATCTGTAAAACTAATTTGTTTTTATCAAATTAATTAATAAAATATGTTTATATATTTGTATATGTGAATTACTTTTATGTAAAATTTTAATATTTTATTTATTATTTTTACAATTTAAAAATGCAAAAAATTAATGTAATGTAAAATAATGTATTAAATAATGTATTTTTTTATTAGAAATTAAATTTAATTATATTTTTGTTTAATTTGCAATTTATATAAGCATAAATATATGAATATAATTTAAATATGTCTGCATAAGTTTCTATATTATTTTTGTATCGGGTATTTTACTAATTTATGTAAATATAAAATAAAGACGTGATAAATAAATGTACGTAAAGTTAGTTAATAAATATTTTTATTTATTGCTGAAGAGGCTAAAGACTTATGATAGAATAAATAAATAAAATTAGTGAGAGTTATTCTGTAGAAAAGAATAAAGTAAGTAAGTAAATAAAGTAAAAAAGAATATAATAATTTTTATATTTTTCAGGGTGACTACTACATATACGACACCTACGTTAGGTGTACCTAATGCAGTCACAGCAAGCACATATCCACAAATGCTTGGTTTAAGTGAACAAGTCCAAGCTTTAATGCCAGTACCTACATCAGCATCAACCTTATTACATCAACAAAGGCATACACCGTCTGTACATAACACGTCTCACGCAAAGTACCCACCCCCTCTAATACCAGTCAATGGTAGCAGCGGTAGTAGTAGTTCCAGGTATATATCATAAACTTATTATTTTAGGAAAATTAAATTATTAAATATGAAATTAATAATTAATGAGGTTTTTCATTTCAGCATTTATAAACGAGCTTGATTCGATTAATAAATAGTATTGCTTACATTCAAGTTATTTTTTAGGGACACTCGAGGAAGGAAACCGTTGATACCAATATCAGAATCACATATAACTACTTGTCATGTACAACCATACCAAATACAGAAAGCACTAATTGAAGAAAAGATGGTACCCTGTATTAATTTCAAACCTTACATTTATACTGAACTATTGATGACACTTCCTGACTTTATTTCCAATTTTTTTCCTGCCTGTGACATCGACAGTTGTAGACAGGTTCTAACAGATGTGCTACATATAGATTTATATCAAGGAAATAGGTAAGTCTAGAAATAAATCAACTCTGAAATAATTTATTTTTACAAAAAAAAAAATATTTACAGACTGCAGATGAAAATGTTAATGGAAGCGGGAAAATGTTCCTCGCTAACGGAAGATCTACCTTTAATTCAAGTTAGGAGTATAATGAAATATATGCCACAGTTCAAGTATATGTTTAATAGAGGAGATATGGTTATGCCTTCCCCAGCTCATTCGTCTGAAGAGCACCCCGCCAAAAAGCGTCAACGTACTAGCTAGGATTGGCTACAGCCTTACTGGCCTACTTATGATTATTATCATTCGGCATTCTAAATAAGCCGATAATTTGACGATCAAAGTGCGATGACATCGTATTTGCGGGACGCCTTCGAGAGTGATAGGCGTATATTTAAATAAAAGATTCCAACTCGCGTATGATGCGCGATGAAATTATATATTGACTGATGCCTCAAGTGTAGAGTGATACAGTGGTGAGCTATTTCTTTCTCCAAAGTGTGTTTACTGAAGAGGACATGACTATGTAAATAAAATTGAACCATGTAAATTTAAAATATTATGGTTGATAATTAAGATTTGCTTTGTACGTAAAAGAATTTATTTTATTTTCATTTTCACAAAGCCTGTTATGATGTAAGGGCTATTACATTACTGCAGGATGGATTTATTTTATTTTCATTTTCAAGGCCTGTTATGATGTAAGGGCTATTACATTACTGCAGCAAAATAGACTTGAGATAAAGAATGATTTCTTATTTTCAAATTAAATATATCCTATCATTCCACACATATACACACGTGCGCGCGCGTACGCACGTATACACACACACACACACACACACACACACACACACACACACACACTTCTTTCATCTACTCTGTATGGCGCATACACAAATACATACAACATACATATAATGTATACGTGCAACATTTTATTCCTACCTCTACACAACAGTAAATACTATTCTTTTAGACTTCATATTTTATAGTGTTCTTGTTACATGTTGGTGTCTTATGTATATGAAAAGAAAGTGAAACTTCTGTTCTAAAGAAAATTCGGAGAAAGAAAATGCTATTATCCCATTTATAAATGGACATGACGTGCTATAGAGTTATTCAGAATGAATAACCTATTTTGCATATTAAATGTATATCAATAAAGAAAGCGAAAAATGGAAGTAAAGCTTCTTCAAGTTCCTAGCTATTACTAGTGCGTATTCTAATAACCTACTGCAAGCTAATTTAAAAACATTAGTCATTCATTCGTTCATTCATTGCCAATGATTTTGCGTGTGTTTTTATACAATTTTCATAAAATTTTGTTAAAAAGCGTTAAGATAATTTATTGAACAATTTTCGTTTCAAGCGTTCAAGAAATATACTATGTATAGGAAAATGTGATGGACGTATCGAATGGAATGATGGAGCGCGGGAAACAAATGCCTACTTAATGTGAAAAAATTGCAGCGAGCAATATCTTGTGGACTATATCTGTAAAAGATATGAATAATATATCTAGTACCATTTCATGAAATTGACGAGAAAATGAAGCTAATATTTCTTGCATTTCTTTCGATATAGCTACCAATAGTATTTTGCAATATTGCTGGCTGCATTTTTTGGAGTCGATTTGGAACTGTAAATTTTTGCTTTAGGCAGCAAATTTTCGAAATTTATTATATGATGTTACCTGAATCTAATTTTAAGCGTTTATTGAAAAATATTTTGTGTAATGGGTTTGAGGTTAAAAATTTATTAAATCAGATAGAAAAGACTATATGCGGTCGAAATTAAAGTATAAAAAATTCATAAAAGTAAATGAAAACAAAATATTTATTCACATCAAATATGTTGATTAAGTAAAATGTAATGAAAAGCGTGGAGAAATGCCATAGTTTAAAGACCGAAAATTAAAGGCGGTTTCGCTCAAAGCGAAGGCCAAATTTAGTTGTGCAATAAATAATTGTTCCTCTTGCCTCTAACCCATTTCACAGATACATTAAATTTATATATGCAAACAAAAATGTCTAAGTTATATAAAACGCTCTTGAGATATTTATATGCGGAGTGTAACAAAAATGCGATAAAAAAAAAAGAGATGTTTGAACAGTGAAAAGAAATCTGGTTCATATGTGAAACCACGTCAAAATAGTCTTCCACTAATCCATAAATACGTCACAAATCAAATTTTGTTCAGTTCAATAAATTATTTCGAAATATCGATATTATATTAATATGCTTCGAAAATTATCATTTATTTCCATTTACAATAGAATGCAGAACGCGATAGGGGGGAAGGGGGCTCCTCCTTTAAACGTGGCGTATAAAATGCTATTTTATCTCTCGATGTGGGACAGAGAATTAAAGAGTTATTATCGACTGGCTATATAAATATATAAATATATACTGAGTCGGAGA